CGATAGATTATAAATACATGATTACAATATATTTGGTAAATGGTGAAGCAAGAATTTTTCAATGATTAAATTCAACTTGTTATTTAATCAATCAGTTTAAAAAATTAAAATTTTTTCATAAATACTACCCATTTAAATGGACAAATATGATATGCGCGAAGAAAAAATAACTTCCAGTATTACCACGTGGTTGTATTTTTCTATCCCTGATTTATTTTTTGCGTAAAGATGTCCATAAAGATAAATGTTGTGCCTATAGTATGTAAGAAGATATTTTAATGTTACTGAATCACACTCCTCTGTTTTTTTTTTTTTTTTTTTTTTCATATAAATTAAAAGAATCTTTGTAATAAGGACTTGTTGAAATTGCTAGTTAATAAGTCGAAATAAGTCCACATAATATATGAATAAATACATTGTAATGTATACTATCTAAATATTGTAAATTAGGTACAATAAATAATATGTAAATTACATATCATTAAATTTTGAATTCTAACTTATTAAATCAATAATCATACGAAATTAAATCAAATTTCATTATTTCTATTTAAAAATTTCAGAGTTTCTTTACATAATTTAAGTCAAGATTAAATATTGTAATTCAAAATATTGAATAAACTCAAACCACATGTGATTTTTCAAATATTAACATTCATAATAATAATTTTTAAAAATAAATATTTGACATAAATATTTTACTTTGTTCTTATGTTTAACCGAATAATGCTGAGGGTAATGGAATAAATACGTTTATTGTTCACAAAATAGCATAATAAAATGATAATAAATTAAAATTTATCAATATTTCATTCTATGAGTTATTAAATAACAAATATATTAAATAATCTCATAATGATAATTGATTATTAGTTCGTGCATTTTCATTCTTTATACGTATATTATTTCCTAATAACAAGTCATAATTTTAAAAGGTTTAAATATTTTCTAAATTTTGTTTTTTAAGTGAAAGTATATCAGTTATATTCCACTAAATATAACACTATATATCACTAAATTACATAAAATAATTACTAAATTAAAAAAAAAAAAAAAAATGAAATATTTACTGTTTATTATATCCATTTCATATTTTTCGACATTCGTCAAAGCCAGTGAATTTTTAAACTGTTTAGCTTTTTGTGATAGTAAGTAGTGTTATCACGATTTATTCGATTACTTAATGCATAGAATTTTAATTAATAATATTGTTCTTAAACTATTACTTAGAATTTACTTATAATGTGTTATTATTATAAAGGGATGAATGCTCGTATTATATTTCATAATATTATATTACTTATAAGACTATACGCTTAAATATAATGATTATAATAATTTTAAAAGTCATTAAAATTTCTCCAGAAAATATCATATCCAAGTAGATTTTTTAAAAGTTGTTTAACAAATACTAATATATTTACATTAAAATAAACAATTGCAACTAATAATTAATATATTGCTATAATAAAGCAATATATCGATAAATGCATTGATATATAATTTGTTGATTTTATATATTTTTTAACTTAGCATTGCCAACGAGGCAGCAAGATGAATGCAAAGCAAAGTGTCTAGAAAGATATGGTTTAAGTGAGTAAAATTTTATTTATTTTTGTTATTTATATTTTATATACATTTTAGTATCGGAATGGAAATTAGTTTATAAATATTGTATAATATTTTGCAGGTATAGAACCATTTAAGTCAATCGATACTTGTTTCAAACTCTGTCAACGTAAGATACATTTATTAATTATTTATTTTGAAATTCATTTAACTTATTTCTCAATATAACATATTAATCTTGTTATATTAATTATTTCATGCAGTACACTATGAAAACTTATTAGCCATTTGCAAAAAAGCCTGTAAACATTTGGAGAAGAAATATAACAGTAAGTATATTGCAAAACTATAAAATTTTGATAATTCATTTATCTAAAATAATAAGAAAAATAATTCTGTTTTATTAAAAGGTAAAAAAAAGAAAAACAAAGGCAAGCAAATATTAGAGGTTAGGAGGAAATAAATAAAAAGTTCTTACATAATGAATTTATACATTTGGATATGGACGTAAACACGTGGAGTTATAAAGATCTATACATAATAATCATAATGTAATTTATATATTGAATTCCTGGAAAGAAAATAAATATTTTAGACCATTAAAGGGTATTTCTTCATAAATATAATACATTACTATTGTTTGCATGAATAAATTATAGAAAAGTTTTAATTGAAATTTAAAAAACCGTAATTGTTATTAGTAAGAATACTTTATAATAAAAAAACTCGTCTAAACTACATAAATAAAACTTAAATAACATATATAATTATAGGATAAGAAAATAGTTTGAATTTGAGAGATTAATATATTGTAATAGTTATTGTAATATAAACTGCTTAAATTTCGACAATTTAAAATCCTCATTGAGTAGTATGTGTTAGTCTATTGTGATACTATATTGCAATTAATATATATATATATATCTGATCTCATTTAATAGAAAATATTGAGAAAATAGTATGAAAGAATATTATAATTATAAGTGAATAGACAGAAATAAAAGAAAACTGTACTATAAATAAAATTAGTATGTAAAAGAATTTACAAATTTTTGTTTGATAATATTGATGATAATAATTATACACAAAATTACTATGGCTTTTGATTGTTTATTTAATCCTTGGATTCAAAGAATTTATATAGATGATATAAAATAATGGGGAATAGCTTTTTTTTATAATCAACAGTATTTATTTGCATTTGTATTTTTCTTTTTCATAATTTCTTAATTCAAATTCAGAAACTTCGCCATCTCGTATAGTTACTATAATAATTTATTTTACTTAATAGAACTGCAATTACTGTCGAATATAATTAATTATTAGAAACGTACAAGATATATATATATATATATATATATATATCTGAAATTATACAAATATGACTTAATTCATGGTACTTTCTTCAATGTTCTTTTGAATTTCCTTATATTTCTATGTACTTTTATTAATTAAAAAATAATAAATCTAATGTTTTTTTAGCAATAGTTAATAATGATATTTCTTCATTATAGTAATTCCTATGTATAAATGTTGTTTAAAATATATAAATATATCTGCACAAACATTACTGCTCTAACATAATATTTCATTAATTTAACGATTTAAATTATTTTAAAATAATTAAATTTAAACTTAAACAATTTAAAATATTCGTGAATGATGAAGATTTTTAAGTAAAATTTTTAATTTTTAAGTAAAAATATACGATATATAACATAATATTGTTTTATAATTAAAAATTTTTAAGAATTAGATGTTTCTTTCAATAACAAAAGTTATAAAGTGTAATTCTATTGATTGTACATTACATAAATAATTACGTACATAAATTATTAAATGATAAATAATGTAAAAAAATATTTTAATTTTTTTCTTTTCTGATCAAGTACTATAGAATATCTTATCAAGAATTTCGTTAAATTCGATATCATTACATTTTAATAGTTAATATAATAAATATAATATATTACTATATATCATATAATTATCCCCTACATATTATATTTATAAATATAATGTGTTAAATTGTAATCAAGTTTTTATTACATATTAAATATTATTTTGTGTTATAGGATCAATTACACTATGTATAATTACACTACGATTCTAATCCTAATAATCGTTGTGAATTTATATAAATTGGTAATTTATATTGATTTCATTAATAAATGCTAGTTTTATATAATATTACTCTCAAAAATTCTACTTTGCATTTAAGACTTGATTATTTATAGAATAAATACGGATAAAAAGAAGTGACTAATAAAATATGAAAATATTATATCGTTAAAAGAAATTATATAATTTTATAGAAAGCTTTTTTTTTTTTTTTTTCTTAACAATTCTCAACTCTTCCCCATAGCAGAAATATGTTTCAATGACATTTTTACGTATTGTTCATATTTTATTTTACAAGCTGTTAAATTGTTGCACGTGACACTTCAATACGAAAGCAAATTAATGTTAGTAATGTCTTTTATAAATAGCTTATATATCCAATGAATTTTATTATTTCATTGTGTAATATCTAATATTACTTTGTGCAACTTTATCGCATAATTGAAGGCATTGTTTTTTTCTTTCCTTATGTCAATCTCAATTTTATTAAAACTTTTAATACAAAGTATTCATTAATCTTTATCATTTCTTTATTATTTCATTGCTTATTTTTAGTTACAAAAAATATCATATTTTGAGCACCAGTTTTATGATCTATTTGCCTTTGCGTTATTTGATAATTCAGCTTTACTCTTGATTCTAATTTTTCACAGTGTATGAAGTATTAAGAAACTAACTATTTTAATGTATTGGTAATAATGATATTGTGATTATATGACTGATTATTTTATTTGTCTGACTATAAGATTGATGTTTAATCCAGAAATATTTATATCGCTTCACGGTTTATGCCAAATGTCTATTGCCTGCATTACATATCTGGGGGAAATCAATTTATTCTGCATATAATAAAAATCATTAAAAAAAAAAAAAAAAAAAAAATAACTAATTTATAAGGATTTAGTTAAGCATTTAAAACAAATAGTCTATATATAAGTAATTTTATCTGCTTTTAAAGAGAAATAGTATTCAAACTACTGGATTATCTCAGTACTTCTGTAAACGTAGTTATACAATTTGCTTAATAAAATCTACTTTAAGATGTTTTACTATAATTTTATGGAAGCTTGTTCAAATAATTTTCTTATTTATACAATATTTTAACAAATATTGAAATAACAAAAGTATTAATGTGAATTATTTACTTTTTACAGTCGTGTTATTCAACAAATAAGGCTGAAAGAACAAAAATATTAAGTACTAGATAATAATTAACAGTTAGTTCATGTTTATTAGTCGCTACTACTATTATTAGTGTTATCACACTCATACTATAAAAGATAAATATATATTAGAGGTGTATACTGAAATATTTTAGTTGAGCATACTTATAGGTATCCATTTTAATTTAAAAAGTATATTGCGTACTAAAAATGAAGGTTGTTGTACTTATTCTTTTATGTGCTTTGTATTATATATCAAACGTCGAAGGAGATGATCTAGAATCATGTCTCGCATTTTGTTCTAGTGAGTTATATATTCATATATGTTTATTAATTTTTGTATGCTATTACTAAAGAAGAATAGCAACTATAAATAATTATATTTAATACGTGCAAACATTGCGACTACATATATACATATGTGTGTATATATATATATATATATATATATATATATATATATATATATATATCCGTATACATCAAAATTTTATTTATAATATTGCAAAATAATGAAACCCTTACAACTACGCCCCTTTCTGATATATTGAATTTTTTATACTACTTATGCATTATATTATTGTTTCATAAATTATGTTTTAAAATTTATTGACTAATTAGTGTAAATATTATAATATATTTATAAATTAAAAATCTTATGACTTTAGAAAAAATAATTGTTATAAAATATAGTTTCTTTTCTTGGAAAATATTGTTAATCATGATATTACTAACTTCAGAGATTTTAGTAATTTAATTGCAAACACATGAACTAAAGATTTTAATTAAAGGTGTTTCTCATTTTGCATATAATTTTAGATTATTTACTATATTTACAACACTATAAAAGATTGTAAAATGTAAATATGTGAATAATAATTTAGTTGCGTATTAGAGAATAATTTCAAAGTGAAAATAACATTTGCAATTTTCAAGAAAGTGAAGATATACATTAAACTTTGCAATACAATCATAATCTGTAATACGTTTAATATTAGCAAAATAGTAGATATGAATTAATAACGTAATGAATTATTAATATTTCGAGATGAATTAATTCTTAGTAAAACTATCTTTATGACTATGCAAAGATAGTAATTAGTTTGATTATGAAGTTAAAGGAACAAATGGGATAAATATATAAAAAAATATCTGTTGAAGAAATTGTAAATAAATTTGAATATTATAATGATTTGCAGGATTTTCTCTGATTTCAATAAAATAAAACGCTGTAATAAAATAAAGTCAAGTAATATGCCAAGATAATGCATAATTGAAAGATGAAAGAGCCAATTAAAAGAAAAGATATTATTTCAAAAATTATAAATCTATATTGTAGTTAAACATAATTAAACATCTATATATATATATATATATATAAATTAGTTTGAAAATAATAAAAGAGGATAGTAGCATAAATAAAATATTTAACAATGTCTGACATTTAGAGAATTTGTGTTAACAAATCAATAAAACAGATAATTTATTATTAATCAACTTTAGAGTATATAAGTATATGAGAAACAATATTAGTTTAATAATTTTATAAAATTCTAACATAATGAAATGAAACGATTTAAATGGATATAAAAGAAGATTTTATTGAAGGATTGTAGTTGTTGCTACCATTCTTATAGTATTATTCTGAATTATAAAAAAAATTATTTTCCTCTAAACTAATAACTAAATAGTTTGTTACATACATATATATATATATATATATATATATATATATATATATATATATATATATACAACAAAAAGCAACAAAAAATAGTGCAAAATAATCTTAGAATGGTGGCAAGTTCTGACATACGTATATAAAAGAAAATTTATGAATCATATATGTTTATTAAAAAATCAATTGAGAAAAAAAGCATTGTTATCTTATTAACAGTAAGTAAAATTAAAATTAGAGACACAATGCTATTGATAAGATTTTCATACAAATGTCGGTTTTATTAATCTTCTTGGAAAAACATAGATACCCATATGAAAAATTATGCGTATACAATGTTCAATAATTTAAAAAGCCACGATTGAAATAATTATATTTTATACAATTCACGTAGAATATAGGTAATTTATATATATATATATATATATATATATATATGAACATGAAACATTGAGGTTCATAAAAAAGCAAAAAATTCTGATAAAGAAAACACTACGAATGTTTATTGCACTTAAATAAAATACTTATAGCAATACTGATAAAAAAAAAATCATAGGAAGGTCTGTGTCCAGTAATAAAAGATTACTCACAATGTAGCTAGATGTACTAGATTCTTCAATAAGCAGGGAATGGCTTTATACCTGATTGGTTGCCGATAGTGTACTCGGCTCGATAAAAGTAGGGGAAACAATGTACAATGAGCATCAACTATGAGCAGACGGTCCATGTACGAAACGAGCGCACATGCGACAAACATAGGATTGCCAAACAGAAAAAAAAAAGAATACATATAAAGAGACTTTTAGCCCGGTAGTTTACTTTGGAGAGCTAAGATTAGTATTGAAAACTGACATGCAAATCACATTATTAATTTACGACAATTTTTGTAAATAAAAGCTTAAGGCAGCGTTTGTTGAGGTAATATATATTACCGACTTTATTCGTATTATTTATTTTTATTTTATTTTTATTTTTTTTTTTTTTTTTTTTTTTTTGTATCAAATTTTTCTATTTACCTAATAAACACGGATTATTAAATATCAAACTATTCAATAACTCTAATTATTCGTTGAATTCATTAAATAATTCATTGAAAATCATTATTCGCTTAATAACAATTAACCACAAAGATTCAAATAGGCAAACAATTTATTTTTCATTATGATAAGATATATTTTATATGCTGTAACATGTCGTAACAATAGAATTATCAAGCACGGTATTACAAAACTCTGATTAACGTGTCTTGTCACAAGGAATATAATAATAACAATAATAATAATAATAATGATAATACGTTCATTTATGTACTTAACCATTATGAACAGCGATGGCAATATTAGATAAAAAAAAAAAAACTATTCAAAACAGGGTAGCCCTTAATCCTTAATGAAATAATGTTTTTTAATTCGAAATTGACTTTTTAATTTTTAATTACCAATGTTATTACAGCACTTCCAATCCATTTACAAGAGGAATGTACAACCGCGTGCATTGAAAGATATGGAACTGGTAGGTCCAACTACTTTATATACTAAATATGGTACTGTATTATTAATATGAAATATTAATTTTTTAGAATTACAAGGACACTCTACTTTAAACGAATGCCTTGGCATATGTAAAAGTAAGTTTATCTTTCTTAATAATATCGATGATCCATGATATTGAAAAAAAAAGTTTTTCTTTATTTATTTTGAAGATGTACTTGCGTATTTAAAAATCTGTTGATCGGAAAATTTGAAGAAAAACAATCTTATTCTCCGATAATTAGAAGAAAAACTAAATAGCTTTATTAATAATATCTACCTAAAAATAATTTTATTCTTAACTGCGCTGCATAATATTTAATTATCGATATTTTCATTTATCATTCAGCTAAGTACAAAAAGTATTTTGCCCACTGTAAAAAGGTGTGCATAAAGGCAGTTGAAAAGGTGAAAAGTAAGTTCAGTTATTAAAAGAATATACTTGATTGTACGTTTAGGTGAAATAATATAATAAAAATTACATGATTCGTTTTTTTTCAGTGAAACTATTTAAAAACTCAGCTAAAGGAAAAGGATTGGCCATAGATGAAGTGGAATTAACGAAAAGATTAACATCAGATGATTAAGAAGCTATTTAATTAGCAGAAGTACGTATTAATATTTTTTACGTTTATAGAAAAAATTCCTATATATAAATCGTTGTAAAGAATGATAAATTGATGAAGGTAAATGTTAGAGAAGTACTAATGCTATTAATTAAAACAAAATTTCATCATATTTGGAAAATTTATTTTTTAAACTATCGAGAAAATGACGTACAAATATATTTTTGATTAAAATTCTTTCTTAATGACTTTTAATAATTTATGATAAAAATTCACAAAAACAATTTTTGTTTTTAATTTCAGAGCTTTCGTTCTTCAAGATATAAATATCTGTATACATTAAAATACGATTTAATTTTTAAAACAAATTGCTTGAATAAAAAAATTATATAATTATATGATAACACTTATCAAATATCCATTGAAAAAAAAAACAAACATAATTGAGTTATTTATTATATACAATTTATATTGAATTGAATATTTAAATTAAACTGAAACAAATATTAACTACCAAAGTTTTCTATGTGTAAGTATCAATTCAAAGAGCATGAATCTCCCATTACGATGTGTTGGCATTCCACTTACACTCTCTCTCTCTCTCTCTCTCTCTCTCTCTCTCTCTCTCTTTCT